AAAAAAGAATCATTTCTACACATTTTATTTTAAATCCATTGGTGGCCTTCTCTCCTCCACAAAACTGGAAAGCCATCTATCCATATTTTTCTAAATTTTCAGTCATATCTATGTGTTGCTAGATTATGGTATGTCTCTTAATTGAAAAATAAAAATAATAATAAAGAGCTCTCAAGCTGCTAAATGGCAGGTCAGCATTTTGAATCCATCAGCTGTTCTGCAAGAGTAAGAATGCAGGAGTTACAGTCTCCTTCTATAAAGAGAGGTGACAGGAAAAACAGGGAAAGAATGGACAGATAATTTGTGCTCTGGAATAGGTGACTAGAAGATCAATCTGAAGTGACTTGGCAGTCAGACATTTTGTGTATTGCAAATAACTATCTGGAACAGGATATACACTACAGATTAAATGGGGCAAAGGAGAAATAAAAGGGGAAAAATTGACAGAGGGTGGATGAAGAGACTAGCAATATACAGTAAGGGGTTGCTTAGACATGTTGTTATGTGCTGTCAGATCACCTGTGACTCATAGTGACCCTATGTACAACAGCCCTAAACTTTGCTCTATCCATTGCCAATCTTACTGTCTCTGACACACCTACCCCCATTACCCCAGTCACTGAATCAGTCCATCTCATTGAGAGTCTTCCTCTCCTGCGCTGTCCCTCCACCCTACCAAATATGATGTCCTGCTCCAAGGACTCGTCCTCCCTTGCTACATGTCCAGAGTATGTAGACAAAGCTTCAGAATTCTTGCCTCCAAGGAGCAGCCTGGTTTAACCCTGGTTTAACAGGACAAACCTATTCATTCTCTTAGCAGTCCATAGAATATTTAATACTCCAGTACCACAGCTCAAAGGCATCCATTCTCCTGTCATCCCTAGTCATTATCCAGCTCTCTCACGCACAGCAAGTGATTACAAAGACCATGGCTTGTATCAGGTGCACCTTAGTCTCCAGACTACGTCATTGCTCTTCAGCATTTGAGAGGCCTCTAACAGCAGACTTTCCCAACACAATATGTCTTTTAATTTCCTGACTGCTGGTGCCAAAAGCATTGATTGTGGAGCCAAGCAAACTAAAGCTGTTTACAATCTCAATCTCTTCACCATCCATCATGATGCTGCCAGTCGGCCCAGCAGTGAGAATCTTTGTTTTCTTGATACTGAGCTTCAATCCATATTGAAGGCTGCAGTCCTTGACCCTCTGCAGCAAGCACTTCAGGTCTTCCTCAGTTTCAGCAGGCAGCATTGTGTCATCGCATAACTCAGATTGTTGATGAATCTTCCCCCAATCTTGATGCCAAGTTTCTCATAGAGCCCAGCCTCCTGGATAATCTGTTCTTAGATTATAGATTGAAAAGGTATGGGAAAAGGACACATACCTGGCATTCACTCTTCCCAATTTTGAACCATGCAGTGTTCCCTTGCTCTGTTCTGATGGTTGCCTCCTTGTCCATAAATAGGTTTTGCATAAGCATGATCAAGTGTTCTGGGATTCCCATTCTTCTCAGAGTTAGCCACAGAGTAATTAATGCCTATGAGTGATTGCCTAAATAAACTTTCACTAAAAATAAATTATAGTGAAAAAACAAACAAGATTTATAATAATACCAGAGACCTAATGGAGGGTCACCATGAATCAGAATGATTCAGAGTCAGTGGACTGGGGGTTTTTATCCAGATAGACTGTGGATCTCAGACATTTTTAGTCTCAGATCCTTTTTGCGCTCTTAGAAATTGAAGACTGCAAAGAGCTCTTTTTACATGAGTCTATGTTTGTCAGTATTTACCATAATAGACTGTATTTGTTAATCCAGTATTAGCAGTGATAGACCATTTTCTCTTTAAAAAAAGCCTAAGACAGGCACAGTTATATGTATTTGCAAATTTTACAAACCTTTTACTTTTTGGCATAGTAGAGGACAACTGGATTCTCGTATCTGCATTTAATCTGCTTCAGTAATTATTTTGATTGAAATATGGAGAAAATCTGGCATCAGATACACAATTGGAAAAGGCAGGAGCATTTTAATAACCCTTTAAAATAATTGTGGATACTCTTTGATATTATCCTAGAATTCTAGAAAACTCTTATAGAAGCTTAATTGTAATTAGAATCCAAACCTATACCCAAGAATTTCTGTATTATATTAAATTCCATTGGTCTCTCCTGGATTCTATTAATGAATCATTTGTCCATGAATTTATAACATGATACATGGTTACTTTTTTAAATAACAGCTCATTTGAATTAGTTACATTTTACTAACGCATATCAATACAATATTAAAAAAATTGTATTCGTTAATATTTCCGAGAGGCCTTTTAGTGTTAAAAACTTGCAAGGTATTGGTGATTTACAAAAATTAAAAGTGTTTATCTTTTAAAAGTTTATGGGATTAATCATGAGGTTATACAATTTGATGGAAGGTGAGGGCAATTGGAAGAATCTATTGTGAAAAACAATGTATTTGAATTTTGTAAATAAACTAGTATAATTTAAAAAATGGATTTTATCACAAAAATATTATTCTGTTGTACTGTGTGTAGGGGTGTTCAGTATAACAGAATTGAAATGAGGAAAATAGTCATAAACATTTTTAATAATTGGAACATGGGATGTATGGATCGTGAATGCTGGAAAACTAGTTGTGAAAAATGAAGTGGAATGCATGAGCATTAACAGTCTAGGCATTAGTGATCTTTGAACACCTGGGATCAGATAATCACATAGTGTACGATGCTGGAAAGGAAAAACAAAAGAGGAATGGTTTTGCATTCATAGTCAAAAAAGTCAATTTCAAGTTCCATATTGAAGTACAGTATTGTGTGTGATAGAATATTAGCAATATGCATACAAGAAAGAGTGTTAATACAATTATTCAAATATATGCTTCTATAGCTGAAGCCAAAGAGGAAGAAATTAAAAATTGACCAAACGTGCAATCAGGATGCGTTGATATGCACACCCATGTTTATTGCTGCTTTGTTCGCAATAGCAAAGAGTTGGAAACAACCCAAGTGCCCATCAACAAACTAATGGATAGAGAAGCTGTGGTATATTCAAACAATGAAACATTATGCAACACTGAAAAACAAAGAACTCATGAAATAATATACAAAATGGGTGACCGTGGAGGACCTTATGCTGAGTGAATATCTCAGTCACAAAAAAAGAGAAATACTGCATAATGCCACTGTTATAGAACAAGACTGATATGGGGGTTGAGGAGAAACTAAAAAAGAGGGGATAAATAATGTGCATGGCATTGAAACAAGTGAGGGAGAGAACTGTATTATTGGCATGACAAGAGTTCAGAATAAGAGTCGTATAGTAAAGTCCTGGTTGGGGGCGGGGTGGTAGGGAAACTATATAACAATGAAAGAACTTTTGTTCCAAAGAAAAAAGGGAACTGGGGGAAAGGGGGACAGGGAGGAAAATATGCAACAATGAATGAATGGAAATCCAAGTTCTTTAAAACTTTCATTAAAATATATAAAAAAAACACCACCCCATTATGTTGGTCCCTAAAAAAAAAGATGTGTTAATAATAATTAGTGACTTGAATGTAATAGTTGGAAACAATAAAGAAGGAATGGTACCTAGAAAGTATGGACATGGTGACAGAGATGAGGCTGGAAATAGAATGATCAAAATTTGTATGTTCAGTGATTTATTCACTGCAAAGATGGACCTCAAGTGATAGATAGACTGCATAGGAATAAGATTGACTACATTTGTGGAAGAAATCATTGGCGAAGCTCAGTATCAGGAGTCAAAACTAGGCCAAGGCAGATTGTAGGCCAGACCGTCATTTACTCATGCGCAAGTTCAAATTGAGGCCGAAGAAAAATTTAAAAAGTCCGTGAGAACAAAATGATCTTGAATCTATTCCACCTGAATTTCAAACCTGTTTGAAGCATTGAACACCAGTGATCGAAGACTCGATGAATTATGGGATGACATCAAGGATACTATCCATGAAGAGAGCAAACACTCATTACAAGGACAAGGTAGAAGTTAAAAACCAAAATGGATGTCAGAAGAGACTGAAAATTGCACTAGAGTGTTGAAAACCAAAAACAAAGGGAAGAGATGTAGAAATAAAAGAGTTGAAAAAGATTTCAAAGGGCAGATCAAGAAGACAAAGTATTATAATGGAATGTGTGGAGAGCTGGGATTGGAAAATAAAAAGTGAATAATTTGCTCTTCATTTCTCAAGCTAAGAGAACTGAAACACTAAATAAGCCTCAAGGTGCAGTATTGAAGGATGCTATAGACAATATGTTGAATGGCCCAGGAAGCATTAAAAGAAGATGGAGGGAATACACAGGGTCACTAGACCAAAAAGAATTGACTGACACTGAAAAATTTCTGGAAGTGCCCTATGATCAAGAGGCAATAGTAATGAAGAAGGAAGTTGAAGCTACACTGAAGGCATTGGCAAAAAAAGAAGGCTCCAGGAATCAATGGGATACTAATTGACTTGTTTCATTTAACAGAGGCAGCCCTGGATGTGCCCACCAGTCTATGCCAGGAAATTTGGAGGATAGTTCTCTGGCCAAACAGATTGGAGAACTCCATATTTGTTCCCATTCCCAAGAAAGGTGATCCAACAGAATGTGGAAACTATCGAACAGTATAATTATTATCATGTGCAAGCAAAATACTGCTGCAGATCATTAAAAAACAAACTAATACATAGAGAACTGACAAGTTTGAGTAGAGTTTAGAAGAGTCCATGGTACCAGGGATATGCTTGGTCATGTCTGATGGATCCTGACTGAAAGTAAAGAATACCAGAAGAATGGCTATATATATGTTTTATTGACTGGCTGAATGTAAAGAATAGTAGAAGAATGTCTTTTTAGGCTTTATTGACAATGCAAAGGCATTTGGCTGTTTGAATCATAACAAGTTATGGCTAACACTGAGAATAGGAATCCCAGGGTACTTCATTGTGCAAAACCTATGCCTAAACCAAGAGACTGTTTGTGTGAACAGAGCAGGGAACACTACAAAAAATTAAGAAAGGAGTGTGTCAGGGTTGTATTCTTTCTCCATACCTATTTATTCTGTATGCAGAGTAAATGACTTGAGAAGCTGGAATCTATGAAGAAGAATGTGGCATCAAGATTGGCGGAAGACTCGTCAATATTCTGTTATGCAGATGATACAACCTTGCTTGCTGAAAGTGAGGAGAACTTGAAGCACTTGTCCTGAAGATCAAAGAATACAGCCTTCAATATGGATTGCACCTCAATGTCAAGAAAACAAAGATTTTTACCACTGGACCAATAAGCAACATCATAGTAGATGGAGAAAAGATTGAAACTGTCAACAACTTTATCTTACTTGGATCCACTTCCCTTGGTACCAGGAAATCAGGAGTCTGCCATGAGGGACCTTTCCAAATTATTGAATAGCAATGATGTCATTTTGAGGTCTAAGGTGTGTCTGATTCTGGCCATAGTCTTTCAATCACTTGCCATGTATCTGAGAGCTGGACAGTCAACAAGGATAACAGAAGAATTATTGATGCCTTTGAGCTGTGGTGTTGGCAGAAAGTACGGAAGGTCCCATGACGGCCAACAGAACAAATATGTATGGGGAGAAAGTGCAGCCTGAGTGTACCATGGAAGCAACAATGATAAAGCTTTATCTCATATACATCGGACATGTTGCTAGAAGAGGCTGTTCCTTGGAGAGGGACATCATACTTGGAAGGAGGGTGGTGAAAGAGAGGAAGACCCTCAGCTAGGCGAACTGACACAGTTACTGCAGCAGTGAGCTCTAGTGTGCCAGGCAGTGTGAGAATTCCACAGGATAGGACAGGGTTCAGATCTGTTCATAGGGTCACTATAGGTTGTAATCAGTGGCACCTAACAACAACAAATACTTTGGTGTTTTTACACCGTCAATAGCATCACAGTAACAAAGGCAATATCTTAGTGTTATTATGAAAATAATTTTTATCTTATAGGCTACCTTAAGTGGTCTCAGAGATCTTTTCAAGTGTCTACAGATCACATTTGTAGAGCCACTTGTCTGCTGTCTCTTGTTGTTATGTACTGTTGAGTTGCCTGAGACTCATAGTGACCCTATGTACAACAGCTCTGAAGCCTGCCCTGCCCTGAGCCAGTCTCACTGACTCCAACTCACCTATCCCCATTGCCCTAGTTATTTTATCAGTCCATCTCATCCAGGGTCTTTCTCTCCTGTACTGTCCCTGGAAGGGTGAACTCTACCGAGCATGATATCCTTCTCCCAGGATTGGTCCCTCCTGGCCACATCACCAAAGTATTTGATACAGAGCTTCAAATTCCTAAGCTCCAAGGAAAAACTTGGTTTCACCCCCTCCAAGACAGACCTATTTGTTTTCTTGGTGGTCCATGGTATGTTAAAGACTTCTCCAGCGCCACAGCTCAAAGGCATCAATTCTTCTTCTGTTATTCATAGTCATTGTCCAGCTCTCTGATGCACAGCAAGTAATTGTGAAGACCATGGACTGGATCAGGTACTCCTTAGTCTCTAGACTGACATATTGCTTCTCAGTACTTTGGAAAGGTCCCTGGCAGTAGATGTATCTAATGCAAATCATCTTTTGATTTCCTGAATGCTGATGCCAAGAATTTTAATTGTGAAGTCAAGCATGTCTGCCACCCAGTTACTCTGAATAATAAATTACATCTGAGTCAGAAGAATTGGGGGTTTTTTAAATGAAAGTTTATAGAGAACTTGGGTTTCCATTCATTCACTGTTGCACATTTTCTTCTCTATCCACCCACCAAGAAGAATTTTTATTTCCCATTTTTGTGGCCCAGTTTCTGTGATGACGATGAATTTGTAGTGATTTATAGCTGTATTGCAAAGTACTTTAGAGTAGTATCTAAAGGATCTCAAGAGTGCAAGCTAGAGAACCTGAGAACTTTTCAAGGGGTTTGTGAAGTAAAAACTAGTGTATGGTATTACTAAGAATTATTTGCCTTTTCACTGTCATTCTCTCAGATTATTAAATGGGGTTTTCCAGAGCCTCAATGATGATTTAGTATTGCAATAGATTAAATGCAGTAGATAAGATACCTAGCAAAAATTAAAGGTGTTTGCAAAAAAATGTAAATGAAAGCAAAATAACTTGCATCCCCATTGAAAAAAAAAATCAGAATTCATTCAATGTATACTTATTAAATATCAGTAACTACCTAAAAATACAGAGGCAAGTTATTCCCCTACTTCCTGTCTCGTGATTGAATAAGTATGGAACACACATTACTCTTACTCTAAATGAATAAAGACTTAATTCTGGCTATGGAAGAAGTCTTTAAAGTACAGAAGGAACATTTGAATTTTAAGAAGCCAATATAATATGGTAGAATAAGACTGACTTTTTAAGAAATTTGAAGATCTGAGTGCAGCTTCAAAGTCAGCCATTACTGAGTTCCTTTTTTACAGGTCATTGCTCCTCTTTGAGATCTTTTGCATCTCTTTCAGCTTTTCACATCCTCTCCGATGTGATGTAAAAACCTTTCCTAGAAAGTTTGGCCAAAGCCAAACTATAGACATAGGTTTTCATGTTCGGTGGTAAGTAAAACCACTTGGACTAACCAATCATTAAATATACCTCAACTTTGCAGATAAAGTTACCTGGTTCTTTTGTGACCTCAATTGGCATATACAACACTTAACTATTTTACATTCTGTAAGGACAGTTATCTTATTTATTCACTAAAGTATTGTTTCTTAATTGTTGCCGTTCAGTAAGGATTCAGTAAATACTTGTTGAATGAGTGAATATCTATTTTATAAACTTCATATTTATTGGCATTTATTATTAAGAGAAATATTAATGTGAATATTGTGTTTCTCTGCTATTTGTCATTATGCTTTCATTTAACATACAGGATTTTTTTTTAACCACACAGTAAAAATACCTTCCTTTCTCATGAGTTAATTAATGTTTATTCCATTACTAACACATAGTAGGCTATGGTATATAGGCTCTTGATCCTTCCTTATGAGCAAGTGCAGGAGAAAGTGTTAAAAATACATTTTATTTGTTAATTTAATTTATCCTTCATTTATCTAGCTACAATCGCTGGTTATGTCAAGCAAGATCTGAAGATCTATCTGATATTGCTTCTCTAAAAGCCTTATACCAAACAGGTGAGTTTAAGGGCAAAGTACCTTACTCTTTTGCTAATTAAGAACTCTGCCCAGCATGCTACTAGAGAATTAATTTTTCTCTGATTTCTTCTAGTCTATCTATGAATCAGGTAGTTTTGTGTTACTCCGAGTAGGTTTTGACCATTATCAAAATGTCAAAAATAACATCTCACACTATAAAATTTTAAACATGATCTCAGTTATCTCATACTCTTAGAAGTATCAGAAGTGAATGGTTTTAACTGACAAATTTCTTTCTCACGTTTTAGTAGACTTTTGGAAATCTAAATTCTGGTGCCGGTTCTAAGGAAAGATTTTTATTTCTCAGGAGATTGACTAAAGGCATATCTTATACTCATTAACATAACAGAGACAATCTACTCTCAAATAAGGTTATAACTACCAACCTGGAGTTAGGATTTATGTTACATATTTGGGGGGGGCGTAATTCAATCCATAACATTGCTTCTTTTGCCCCTCCTCAAAATTATGTCCTTAACATTGCTACATGCAAAAATATATTCAGCCCGTCACATTATTAGCCTCAAGTTTAAGATATTATCTGAAGTATCTAAATCAAATACAGGTGAGACTTTAGACATACTCCATCATGGGACAAAATTCTTCAAGTGTGTACCTTTTAAATTTAGACTACAAATTATCTATTTCAAAGTATTCTAACAAAATGTGCAAAGAGCTAGAGTCAGAAAATCAAAAGAAAAGAACCCACTTAGCATTTCTCAAGCTTTGGAACTGAAGAACAGATTCAAACTTTGAATTGTAATACTGAAAGATGTTATGGGAAAAATCTTGAATGTTCCAGGAATATCAAAAGAAGTTGAGAGGAATGCACTGAGTCTTTCTACAAAAAAGAATTGGCTGACACACAGCCATTTTAAAAAATAGCATGTGATCAAAAACCAGTGGTAATAAAGGAAGAGGTACAAGCTGCTCTAAGTGAATTGACAAAAAAAATAAGGCCCCAGGTTGACATATTTCAATAAACAAGTGCAGCCCTGGATGTTATCACCAGGCTTTGCCAAGAAATCTGGAGGACAGTTACCTGGCCACTGGGAGACATCCATATTTGTTACCATTCCCAAAAATGGTGATCCAACAAAATGTGGAAATTATCAAACAGTATTATTAATACTATATATTATTATATATTATATTAATAATATCACATGCAAGCAAATCTTGCTGAAGATTATCCAAAAATTACTAGAACAGTACTCAATAGAGAACTGCCAGAAATACAAACTGAGTTTAGAAAAGTCTGTGGCAATAGAGATAGCCTTGCTAATGTCGGATTGTTCTTGGCTGAAAGCAGAAAATATCAGAAGAATGCCTATTTTTGTTTTATTGACTATGCAAAGATATTTGACTGTGTGGATTATAACAAATTGTGGTTAACATTCCCAGAACACTTGATTATGCTCATGCAAAACCAATACCTAGACCAGGAAGCTGTTGTTCAAACAAAGCAAAGGAACACTGCATGGTTCAAGTTCAAGAAAGGACTGTGTCAGGGATATATCCTTCCTTTAAACCTTTTCAGTCTGTAGGTTGAAATGATCATTTAAGAAGTTGTACTTTATGAAGAATAAAGTGGCATCCATATTGGAGGGAGACTTATAAAGCAGCGTGCATTAGGTAGATGACACAACCTTGCTGGCTGAAATTGAAGAGGACTTGAAGCCCTTATTGCAGAAGGTCAAGGACTGCAGCTTTCAATATGGATTATGTCTCAGCATCAAGAAACAAAAATCCTTGCCACTGGGCCAAAAGACAGCATCATGATAGACAGAGGAAAGATTTAAATTGTTAACAGTTTCTTCTCACTTGGGTCCGTAATTAACACTGATTTGGCACCAATAGTCAGGAAATCAAAAGACAAGTTAGTTGTATTCAGAAAATGAGCTGTCAAGGACCTCTCCAGAGTAAGTCCAAGAACGAATGTGTACTTGATCCAAGCTAAGATCTTCTTAGTTTCTTGCTATGCATCTGAGAACTGGATAGGGAATAAGGATGACAGAAGAAGAACAAATGCCTTTGAGCTATGGTGCTGGAGAAGAGTGTTAAACATACCATGGATTACCAACAGAACAAATAGTTCTCTGTTCTGGAGAAGGTGAAACCAGTTTGCTTCTTGGAGGCAGGGATTTTGAAACTTGGTCTCACATACCTTGGGCATGATGTCAGAATGGGCCAGTCCTCGGAAAAGGACATCTTACTTGGAGTGGTGGAGGGTCGGTATAGGAGGAGAAGGCCCTGAGGGAGGAGAAGGCCCTGAGGGACACAGTGACTGTGTCAGTAAGGTCAGGTGTGTCAGAGCATTGAGGTTGGTTCAAGATAGGATGAGATTCAGAGCCATTGTTCAGAGGGTTGCTATGTGTCATAGTCGACTGGACAGCACATAACAAGGTATGATGGTAGAATGGTTACAAGGTAGATATTTTCTTTTTTTTTTTTTATGAATAGGATAGGGATAAGCAGTTACAGGTACCAAACAAGGCCAAAACCCAGAAAAACAAGTCACATCAACTTTCAGGATTTGAAAGTAACACTCTTTTCTCTAAGACTTTTGGACAGTGGCCCTTTGGAGCTGAGATAACTCTGTTCCCAGGGCTCGTTCTAAGAGATTTCCAGTTTGCTGCAGGGTTTGTCCTTGTCTTGGAGGACAGCCTGTAGAGCTCTAGATTCGGGGTGTTGGCCATGCCCCCTGCATTCTGGATAGAGATTCCTTGCCTTCAATTCCACTTTCCAGGCCCACTCAGAATAGCAACTTTGCTTCATTGGTTTTGGGTGACCCATTTCCTAGGTCCTTCTGAGTGGCAGTCCTACGCCCTCAGCACTGTTCTGCCTTTAGCCATGGCAGCCCCACCCTTTCAGCTGTCTGTGGTGGTGCTATCCTCCAGCACAACTTAATGATAGCACCACACCCTGAAACTCAGTTGGTGAAAATCTGACCTTTTGAAACTTAGAAAGCGGTGGCCCCACTTTTTTGGGATCCAGGAGACCACAACCTCACCCTTTGGAACTGAGAATGTTCTGTGTCCAGAACTCCTTCAGCAGTTAGGCTGATCTCCAGACTGCCCTTTGGCTTGCTTTTTGCTGTGGCATAGAGAGCAACAACGTTCTCTTCTTTCATTCTTTCTCCATCACCTTCACTCTAAGCTGATAGGTTTGCTGCTGTGGTCATTGGTTGTCTCTGTCAGTCACAGACAGGCTCAACCTCTTTAATGAAAGATTGTACCACTATGTCCTTGGTAAAAATTTAAAACACATATCCCTAGTTTGTACATCAGAATTTTCCAGATCTTTAGGTTTTCATTTTTAAATCTATTGCTTACCTTTTACATTTTCCTTTAAGTGACTAGGAGAGATCCCATATCCTTTATAAGATCTTGCTTAGAAATCTCTCAGCCAGATATCCACTTACAAGTTCTTCCTCCAACATTTGAACACAATTCAGACAAGTTGTTTGTCACAGCATGGAAATTTTCACCCTTTCTCCACTGTCTAATCACATGCTCTTCATTTTCTTTTGAAGTCTCATCAGAACCACATTTAATCTCAACATTTCTAGGAATATTCAATTGTTGGCAACATGTAATCTCTAAGATCACAGAGGCTTTCTCTGTATCTCTTCTCACTTCCTTCTGAGCCTTCACCAGAATTGCCTTTATCATCCATTCCTATTCCAACAATCTCTTTGATGATCTAGGCATTTTTTTTTGTCCATTGAGACATTTTATTTGCACTGTTTATTACATCTCTAGAAAAAGAATCCCAGGACTTTTCCTCCTGTGTGTTTTCATCTTGCTTCCTCGTGGTCCATGATGCCAGCTGAGGTTGTCAGTACAATGAAACCAAACTGACGCGACAGGAGCAGATTATTCTGCCACTTTTCTATATCTTTGAGCTGCACATCAAATCTGGGGCTGATAACGCCATACTTGTTTAACCTGCCTGTGAGGTTGACAACAATTTTCCCTGCTCTGTGGTCATCAATGATTTCAAATTAGCCAGTGTAGCTGTGCTTCATCATCACAGTCAGGAACTGAACGATGACTTTGGAGCACGACCTGATGAGAACCTGGCACTTGCCTCTCTTCTTGGCTTTGTTGATGCTCTTGAGCGTGTCCCATTGTGGAGGCACGGAAAGATGGTGGAAAGAAAGATGATCTAGGCTTTTACAGTTTTAGTTGTTGTTATGCGTTCTCTAGTCACCTGCAGCTCATAGTGACCCTATACACAGTAGCTCTGAATGCTGTCCTATTCTGAGCCAGTCTCATTGTCTTCAGTATGCCTGCCCCATTGCCTCAGTTTCTGTGTCAATTCATCTCACCAAGGGTTTTTTTCTCCTGTACTATCCTTCCACCCTTCCAAACATGATGTCCTTTTCCAAGGACTCGTCACTCCTGACAACATGGCTACAGTTTGTCAGATGGAGCTTCAAAATCCTTGCCTCTAAAGAGCAACTTGGTTTTACCCTGTCCAGGAAAAACCTGTTAGTTGTCTTGGCACACCATGGTATGTTCAATACTCTTCTCCAACACCACAACTCAAAGACAATGATCCTTCTTCTGTCATCCTTAGCCATTGTCCAGCCTTCTGATGCATAACAAATAATTGCAAATACCATGGCCTGGATCAGACACACTTTGGTCTCCAGGTTGACATTGTTGCTCTTTAGCACTCTGGAGAGGTCTCTGACTGCAGACTTTCCAAGTGTAGTTCGTTTTTTGATTTTCTGACTGCTGATGCCAAGAGTTTTGATCACGGAACCAACCAAATTGAAATTGTAACAATTTCAATGTCTTCTCCACCTATCATGGTACTGCCAGTTGGCCCAGTGATGAGAATCTTTGTCTTCTTGATGTTGAGCATCAATCCATATTGAAGACTACAGTCCTTGACCTTCTGCAGCAAATATCTCGGGCCCACCTCAGTTTCGGCAAGCAGGATATATCATCTGCGAAACAAAGGTTTTTGATAAGTCTTCCTCCTATTCTGATGCCACTTTCCTCCTTATAAAGCCCTATGATCCAAATGATCCCTTGTTCCACATATAGATTTAAAAGGTATAGAGACAAGACACATCCCAGACACACTCTTTTCCTGATTTTTAATTATGCAGTATTTCTTTACTTTGTTCTGACTACTGCTCTCTAGGTATAGGTTTCGCATGAGTTCATACTTCTCTGGCTTCTACCCTCTTTACCCAATTCCAAAATCTCTTCCATATTATAGGGATTTGTTGGCGCATCACCTCCTCTTCTCAGTCCCTAATTCCAATTCGTGCTGTCTCAATAAATGCATCTGAGTGGTTTTAACAAAGAAATTTATTCTTTTACAGTATAGAGGGTTAGAAGTCAGAATTAAGGGTATCAGCTCTCTCTTCTGCCTACTTTGGTGGAAGATTCTTCTCCCTTTCTTTCTTGCCTAATCCATTTGAAATCTCAAAAGACATTGGCTCAAAATACACTCCACATTAATTCTTCTTCATTAACCAAAAAACCCCATTCCCAATTGGGATTAAAACCACAGGTGTAGTAAAGCATATTTTAGGGTGACAAAATTCTGTCTATAGCAAGTATATTGTTTCCTGGGGTTTTTTTACCAAAAAAAAAGGTTTTATTTTTCTGCTTTTTAAGAGTACTGTTTGCTTGTTATACAAAAGTCAAACTTTATATAAATATGTAATGTCGACATTGAAAGTTCTCAGCTTCCCACTCTTCCCCAATTATATTTCTTTTTCAGACAGTGCTTGTTAATTTTCAGATTTCAGTTACATAAATATGTAATGTCGACATTGAAAATTCCCAGCTTCCCACTCTTCCCCAATTATATTTCTTTCTTTTTCAGATAGTGCTGGTTAATTTTCAAATTTCACTGTCATTTAGATTTGTTGGCGTTTTATTTTCGTTTTATTTATATTTTAGATCACAGTAATAAGTGTGAATAAGTGACTTTTAAAAGTAAGGGTGCTGATCAGAAACCCATGAAATTTGAAAAAAGAAAGGTCTTGTTTCCCATGGGGGAAAAAATATCAAAGATAATAAATTTCTTGGTTTTCAGTCTTTTAAATATAGAATAAGTGCAGAGCCCAGAACAAATACTATTCTCAAAGTAAAGATTCTGGGTGCTGATTACGTTTCCTGCTTGCAGGTGTTGATAACTGTGGTCGCACAGTGATGGTGGTAGTTGGAAGAAACATTCCTGTAACCTTAATAGATATGGACAAGGTAAGCCCTAAAAAAGGCTCTGCCACAATGCTTATTTAAAAATAAGTAGGATATGAACTTAGAATGAGAACTTGGAATAGGAGACGAGACAATTGTGTGCTTGACAGAGTAGGGAAGTAATCACTTCAGTGAGTCAGGAGTTTGATTTTGCTCAGTAGGAGGAAAAAAAATGCTAGAGTGTTATAATGTGATCTTAAAAAAGGCAGCTGCTTTGTTTTGATTATTATATAACTGGCAAGTTTTTGGCTGAAATCATTCTGTATTGTAATACTCACCCATGAAAATCTTCCTCAAAGCAAAAATAAAAAATTGTTAACGTTGGAGTGTCTATTAGAATAGAAGAAATCCAAAATCTAGCTAAACCAAGATAGCATAATTTTATAATCGCTTCACTTAGAAGCAAGAGACAGAAATAGATAATTCCGAAAACAAGACATTATTATAATTGATAAATAAAAATAAGAACATGTTCACTCTTGTTACCATTGCCTTGGAGTTCCTTTTGGCTCATAAAGTATCCGGCTTCTAACTGAAAGGGAAGCAGTTCAGATCCACTAGTCTGCTATTTGGGAGAAAGATGAGCAGTTTCTTTTTGTAACAATTTCAGCCTCATTAGTAGTCGGTGAATTAACATGAGACAACTCTTCCACCTTCAGAATTAGCAAGAATTTTTAAGTAGTCATTTGTCATTAAGCATAATTTGAAACTATAAAAATTTTCACACCATTTGGCTCAGCAATTCTATTCTAAGAATCTGTAGTAAGGAGATTATCCAAAGTACGGAATTAGCTATGGGCTCTGAAACTGCTCAAATTGGAATACTCATGCCAGGAGCACTTAAAGCCACAGGCTAAATATGTAGACCTTCCTAAAATATCAGTTCCTTAGCACTATAAACTGATAAATAATTCTAAATCATATTCAAATATTATGAACTGAAAACTTAAAAATTCATACAATTTTAAGACAAAACATAGTTATTCAAGCACAAATTATTGCTTCTGAATAAACTACCAGGTTCTAGGTTACTGATGCTTATTAAAACTTCATGAAAGTCAACCTGTCATGTTGTTCACAGGATTATTTTTACCAACAAAAAAAACTATAACAAGTTTCTAATAGGTTCATCCTCAAATGGAACGTGTGATAGACTTTAAAAATTATGATAATAGAGGCAAATACTGTAGAAAAGTATTTATAAGATATTAACAATAAAAGTGATTTATTTACTTGTATCTATACTGACCTTAAATACTTAAAACATTTTTACATTAAATATAGGAAATCTAAAACCAGAAAGGGTATCTAAATTGCCCAGGAGTGGGTGGCCAAAATGGTGAGAGTAGAAATGAAAATACATGTATAGAAAAAGGGCCATGAAGCAATATGATATGAGCAGAAATAAGGATGAAAATACTCAATGTATACTGAGGAAAAACCCAAATAAAAATTATATAAGGTTTTATTTCCGATGTTTTATATTGTTCTTATTCAATGTGATATGCATTCTCATCATCAGTAGTATGATACCCATTTAATTTTGATCTGCACTTTCATGATGTTCTCCATATTCATGATATATAATTTCATAAAATTATGAAAAGTATCTTAAGATCTAACCTGGTTCATAACTGGAAAGATGATGTGTTTTCCTAATCTGACTGTCTGCCAGTTCTAGTGGCATTTGGATTCTAATCCATTTAATCCAGTCACATTAACACAGATACTCAAGGAGGAATTGGACAATGTCCCCTATTTCAACAATTCTTTTTGCTATAGGATTATTTTTTTCTGTTATTTCTTAGCTTTGTCTTTGTAACTGTTTATGGCTGTATCACTAGACCACACTGGCCCTACCTCTGCAAAATCTCTGCTTTGTTTTTTTCTATTTTTCTTAAAGTTCATCCCTTCTCTAACAGAGCAGTTCTTTAACTGATTGATCTATGTCACGTTAAATTTCAGTATTTCAAAGCTCTAGAGTGCTACCCAGCCTACTGCCCTCAGCTGGCTAAAGTAGTTCTGAAATTTTTGTTCACAACAGTATTAAAGATGCTAAGAAAACAAGTCCTCAAAATAAGCCACATAAGTCATTGTTATAGTATTTCTAGGTTTCATGACAACTGAGAGATTGTATGAGTAGAAATTACAAAGACTTTTAATTCAGATAGAAATTTCAAGAATGATAGAAGTCTAGAAATTCTGCTTTAACCATTTTTATCATTATCCTATGAGGAGAATCTTGATAAGGGACTAGAACTCAACTTTCAAGTATATGAAGATATGAGATACATTTTAGGGGACAGAGATTTATATCTTTCAACAATTAGAAAAGATAAAAAGAGGTTGTATTGTAGCAGTTGTGAGAATTAGGTAACATTGGGATTATTCACTTTTTAAGCAAAATTGATACTCACAAATGTCCATCTGCAATGATGGAGAAATAGATTAAACTGTGAGGTTTTCCCTTGCTCTTTGTATCTGTGAAATACACTACCAGGTACAATAATCTTTATATTTTCTCCTCTTTCCTTTAGGCACTCCTGTATTTTATCCATGTAATGGATCACATTGCTGTGAAGGAATATGTATTAGTGTATTTTCACACCCTGACCAGCGAATACAATCACCTTGACTCTGATTTCCTGAAGAAACTCTACGATGTTGTTGATGTCAAGTTAGTTATTTTTGCAAATTATGGTGGAAAGAGAAAAGCTTCTTTCTTTCCTATTAAGCAATACCAAACATTGTTATATATTCTTTAAAAGTTATTTGATACAAAAAAGAAGTTTATTTACATGTTGTGGTTGTTATTAAGTACAATTACGTGAATTCCAGCTCATAGCACCTCTGTGTACAGCAGATTAAAACTTTGCCCAAGGTTATACGTAGTTAAGATATTTTAATAATTATTATTATTATGTACTGTTGAATCAAACCCATCCATAGATGATCCTCTAGCTAGTTTCCAGCGGCAGTAATTGCACAGAAGGATATTACCCATCTTTCTTTTGCAGGGCAGCTGGTGGATTTGAACTGCCAGCCTTTGAGTTGGCAGTGCATCTCCTTCCCACTAGACCACCAGAGCTCTCTATATTAATAATAGGCCCTTCTTAACGCAGATTTCTTTTTCATTAAAACATATTAATTTAACTTTTTATTTCCCCTTTTAAACACCTAGGGAAAGGCTTATGGACTTTGGCAATACTTGAGTTAGAAATAAAAATTATACATTCCAATTATGTGGAGTATTACACTTATCAAAATATAGAATTTAATTTGATCCGCAACCCTCTGAGTTTTTAAAGATCAGTATTATCTAGACCGGGAGAAGGAGAATATTGGCACTCTAGTAAGTTCAATGTGTTGCCCAAAGTCGCACAACAGTAAATACAGAATTTGAACTTGAATTCATGTCACTGACTTGGAACCAGAAAATTACATCACTGAACTATATTTCTTTTGGAGTGATAATGGATATTTTAAACTGAGAAATAAGACTTCTCACTACAGCAAAAGTAATTGTAATGGTTTGCACTCCTTCTCATAATGTATTTTCTAAGTAAAAATAGAAACCTACTCTTCTGATAGTTCTTTTATCATTTGTCTTCTTTGATTTCATGGGAAAATTCCTTTTACAATTAGAGTATAAAAAAGGCACATTACCATAAATTTCAAACTATTTTACTCTTTCCATTAAATCTCACCTCACTTAATAGTAATTAAAGCTTTCATTGTGTCAAATCCACTTTTTTTTTACTTTCTCTGATTGTGGGTTGTATATGTGTAAAGAAGCTTCACTATACTTCTAGTTAGTTCTACTTCTACCACTAACCTGCTCTAAAACTAAACCAGCATCATCTGTGAAGTGGGAGGTTCTCTAAAGAGCTAGCTCATCATTTAACCTCATCTGAGCCAGTGGTGATTTCTGGACTGTGAAAATCAGGTGCATCATTAGTAAAGACAAGACTGCCTATCATGATTTGTGGCAGTGATTGTGCTGTTTATGGGGTTTTGTGGGTTTTTTGTATCCTGGTTATAAGAAACCTTGATAGCATAATGTTTTGATATACTGGGCCATTGACCAAAAGATTAATAGTTTGAATCCACCATCCATAGCTGACTTTCCAGCAGTTTCTAAGGCTGTAAATTGATCAGGAGGAGATTGCCTGTCTTTCTCCCACAGAGGTGCTGGCTTCAGACTGCCAAAGAGACATCATCACCTTTTCATTAGCCACACAACTCCCTACAGACTGCACCACCAGAGTTGAAAGATGGGCAATATCCTCTTGTTATGATTCATAGCCCTAGAAACTCTGGGGAAGGTCTCTGAGTTAGAAGTGACTTGACAGCACTTGTTAAGTGCCCAGCTGCTACCTGAAAGATCGAAAGATCAGCAGCTTGAACCTGTGAGATGGACAGTGATCTACAGGAAAGTCCTCTGATAGGTTTTCATGAAGAATTACATTCTAGAAAACCCAATGGGGCGGTCCTGCTCTGTCTTGTACAGTCACTGTTATGTACCATCAAGTTGGAACCAACATATATCTGACCCTCCAGCAGGTTTACAGAAACTAGCTGATAGATTCAAACTACCTGCCTTTGGGTTAGCCGCACAACCTTTTGACCACCTTTAGGGTTATTCTTTGGCAAAACAGCAAAATCTTGATATTTATGTTCTACCTGAAGAGGCTAGAGGAAGCAGTGAATAAAAGTGTGGATTCTTAAACGGTACTGCCTGGGTTCAATTCCTCGCTCTACTGTTGACTGGTTGGGCAACACTATAGGTTAAAATAAACCTAACCTAATAAAATTATTAGAAGTATAAAGCCTCTTCTAAGTGCTTATTATTGTTATTCACTGTTATTATAACAATGAAATACTTAGTTTCTTATTTTTGCTATAAATTTAATTCATTTTTTATTGACTTGATTCATCTGAATCTTATCCCACACATTCTACCACCAAACTGGAAAAAAATGGCAAATAGTGTCTATTAAATGTGAATTTCATTTTGTTCACCTGCAGGTGGCTCCATCACAATTGAAAGAAAAGACATTCAGATGCTTGAAATTAAATGATCTCTGGGTTGTTTTTTACTTGACTCCTAAAATTCAATATATAAACCAAAGCTGTCTTTTATTTTTTGTTTTTTACATTTCTCCCCCTAGGTGAATTCATTTATGTATTCAAGAAGAATGAATTGTCTACAATTGTGACAGGTTTTAGCTATGACTTAATCCTGACTCTTTTGCTGTTTTTTAAATTAGGTACAAAAGGAATTTGAAGGCTGTGTATTTTGTTCATCCAACATTTCGTTCAAAGGTGTGTTATTTTCCTCTTTCAGCTAAATCTAGAATTTAAGTGTACCTGATTTCTTCAATATTAAGGCATATTTCAGCAACTTAAGTTTTGGAGAAGGACATTAGCTTGAAAGGGTGGAGGCACAGCACAGGAGAGGAAGACCTGGATGAGATTAATTGACCCAGTTATTGGGGTAATGGAGTAAGTGTGTTGGAAACAGTGAGACTGGCAGCGTTCAGAGTTACTATACATAAGGTTGCTGTGAGTTGCAGGTGTCTTGACAGCACGTAACAACAGCAACATGGTTATATGGATGCAGTGACTGCTGTTTTTCTTTTCTTTGTCCACTTGATCCTATCTTACTGCTCTGGTCCTGTGTGGCTACGCCATCTTTGTGGACAACCCATATAAGCCAGGATTTTCTCAGTTTTGCCTGTTCACGCTCTCTGGCCTCAGTCACTAATGCTGTTCGTATGGAATATATTTTTTTTCTCCACTGCATGACTATCTCCTGCTTGTCCTGCCAGTCTCAGCTCAACAATTATTTCCTGTAGCAAATTGCCCTGACTGCTCCTGTAGCCAGTAGACATTCCTGTGATGTGCACCTTAGGATTCTTGATTCTTTCTGCATAAACAGGTTTTTCTTTTCATTGTAGTTGCTTTTTAATATTATGCCTTATAAGAGCTAAAGTGTATCTATCCCACAATTTTATCTGTGATATCTAATCCTATCCTTTAACTTCAGGAGAGCAAATCCTTTGATCCTTTTACTTTTTTTCTCTGAAAATACCATCCTTTGGTTTTTATTTCCTTCCCTATCTCACCTAAACCCCAGGGTTTGTCACCTCCGCCACTCTTGTCAACACCTAACATTCCTAGTAACCTCTTACTGTTTTATCATACCTGCTCATCAAGCGTAATCTTTAAATAGCACATGGTTCTGCTCTCTCCACCCTACATCTGGTTTGAGGAGCCCTGGTGTCAACAGTGGACGAAGCATTGCACTACTTACTCATTGAAAGGTCAGCAGTTCAGATCAAACAATTTGAATCTCAATTAGAAAAAGGTGAGGCATTCTTTTCCATAAAGATTTACAGCCTTGGAAACTAAAGGACAATTCTGCTCTGTCCTGTAGGGTCTCTGTGCATTGGCACCAGCTCGGCAATAGCAGTTTAGTTTGGTTGGTATCTGGTTTCCTGGAGAGAGATATAACTTGGTGAAATATGGATTCATCAGGAGACAGAATAGGCCTTTGCAGCTGTCTGGAAACCCTAAGATGTGTCAGTGGTCAATGCCCCAGAATCATTCTCCACTTTCCTTAGTCCCCTGTCTTCACCATATCCACACTGCTAGAGTTAGCCTTCCTTATACTTAACTACAAAATAGGAACCATCATTCTGAAAGCTTCTGTCATCCTCCCTCCAGCCTACAAAGTGTTATATATTCCTGTCATTTTCCTTCTTTTTCTCTGTCTCAAAAATGTGTTCCTTCATAATCAAAGGACAGTCCCTCTACCTTTGTTTTTGGTCCCATAGTGCTAATGGTAGCTAACATTTTTTGAGCATTCTTCACAAGCAGTATACTAAATGCTTCTCCTACCTTGATTTAATTAATCCTTACACCTATAATGTGGATAGTAGTTTGTATGTGCCTTCAAGCTTGAGCAAACTCACAGTAGTCTTCAGAGGCTGTAATTGCATAGAATAAGATTGCACATCTTTCTTCTAGGGAGCAGCTGGTAGATTCAAACCACATGCCTTTGGGTTGGCTGTGCAACTCCTTATCCACTAGGCAGCCAGAGCTCCCATAGATAGTACTATTATTCCTAAGTTACAGAAAAGGAAACTTAAGGTGAGCTTCCCAAGGAAGTAGCAAATTGTAGATTTAAATCTAGGCATTTTATTTCCTGAGCTGACATCTTTAACTGTAGATTGTATTTTCATTTCTTCAGGAAACCCTCAAGAGCACCTTTACTCTTTCTTCTACTTTGTTAGACCTGTCCCACCAGCTTTTAAACAGCCTCACTTTATCTTTCTTCCCTTTTACAATGAAAATGTTAATGGACCTGTGTTCTGGAAACTTCAGTTTTATCGACTGATTTTCCTTCTGTTCCAGGTTAAGAGGATATAAAGCCACTGTTTTCTAAGATTGAGTGCTAAATCCTCCTCTCCCACACTAAAAACCAAATCTGTTGCCTTTGAGTCTATTCTGATCTCTAGAACTCCTAGAGGATAGGCTAGAACTGCTGCATAGTTTCCAAAGCTGTAAATCTTTACAGATACAGACTGTCCCATTTTTCCCCCATGGAGGGTCTGGTGGATTCTGCGTTTAAACAGCTAAACTTTCAGCTAACGGCCAAGCTTTTTAACATCTGTACATTAGGATTCCCATTGTGGAGAAGCAATGTGTGTGTGTGTGTGTGTGTGTGTGTGTGTGTGTGTGTGTGTGTGTGTGTGTCTGTCTATCTTCCATGTGTAAACAGTGGGTTGACATTCTTGGCCATCACATCACTAGAATTGCTTTGAATAGAAAACAGTGCAGATGTCAGATTTGAGCAGAAGCTGAACGAAACCAGACATACAAAGTGAAAATCATTATATATTCGCCTCATAATTTTTTGTGAGGAGAAAATGAGGGTGAATTATTGAGAATTAAAGAGTCCCTGATGGCACACTGGTTGATCACTCTAGGTGAAAGGGTGCATTTCAAACCCACCAGCCGCTCAGAGAGAGAAATATGTGGCATTCTGCTTCTCTAAGCATTTATACCCTTAGAAACCATGGGGACAGATCTGCTTTTTCCTGTAGGGTCTCTAGGTGTCAGAATTGACTTGATGACAATGGCTAAGTTTATGGAGAGAATTAGGACAATATATAATAAAAGTATCCACTATTTCATACTAAATTAAAATTTTTAAATGGAGTGTTTATAATTATAAAATAATAAGATGACATCAAGGGATAATAAAATAGGCAAATCACACTGTTCTGATTTTCATACACTTGAGATCTTTTCCAGACCATGAACACAAAGTGATAATAAATTGTCTGATAAATCACTTTTCTTTTTCTTCTTTGAAGCTTTCTAGTAGAATGCAGAGTAACAGAATTAAATCCCATTGTTGATTCTGGCTCCAGCACATTACCTAAGTGTACATGTGTGTGTGCAGTCTTTCACTGCTTAATGTTATTTTGTGATCTTGTGTTCTTGGCTGTGCATTTGTAAGAACTGACTGAAGGAATCTCTAGCATCCACAAAATATCACAGCTGTCTTTTTCAAAGTTTTCATTTTCTTCAGCGGTTTTGAGAAGTAAAGAATCAAATATTTTTAAAATAATTACCTGAATTAATGTAGATTTATGACTTAAAAAAAATTGAAAATTCAACATTAAGCTGTATAAAACTAAGGTCTCAGGGGTAAATCCAACCTGAAAGTTAGTGGTTCAAATCCACCCAGCAACACTATGAAAGGCCGGAGATACGCTTCTGTAAAGGTTACAGCCAAGAAAGCCCCATGGAGCAGTTCCCCTCTGTAACACACCAGGTTGCCATGGGCAGGATCCGATCAACAGCTAAGAATTTTGTTTTATATGGAACTAAAATGACAAATTTTTTTAAAGAGAAAGAAGATGATAGTTAATCTTGAGTCTCCATAAAGAGAAAACTTTTAACTGGATTTCCACTGCTATCTGCTTTGATTAGTATTCTCCTACTAACACTTGGGGATATAAAGAAGGAAATGAAAGAAAGGAAGCAGAGAGATGTATTTCTCTTTCAAGGATTTTATGTTTAGAATTGCAGCCTCCTTTCCCTCAACCAGTCTTACTTTGTCTCTCTATCACTGCCCTCTCCATGTCAGTATAGTGCAGCATATTCCAAGTGTCCTTTCATATCAGTTTATGGTAAAGAAGGGCTTTAAAAAATCCTTTTGCTCTAGCTTGCTGATTTTATAGGTATATGTTACAAAGGCAGCTCAACATCTGCATAGTATTCACTTTGATTGACTTTGACAAGAGACTGCATGTTGACCAAATGTCAGCTGGAAATATGTTAATCCCAAATGTTGGCAGAAAAAAAATTCGTCTCATTTGAAAAATAATGAAACAAATGTCTTAAGATTTCGCCATATTAACCATTTTCAGAGTGCCAGTAAATAACTTACTCTACTAATAATACAGTGATTTTCAAACTTCTGAAAACAATCCATAGAAGAATCACATATTACATCACAAAACAATACATGCACAAAAGCTTTTGTATGTATAACAGAAAAAAAAGGTTTATAACAGAGCTCATCTTGTTACATTCTCTGCTAATTATTTTTCTAGGGCCTTTTTCCCCTTCTTTTGTTATTATTCATAATCCACAAAGTTGACTCTACAACTCAGTGATGGACCACAACTTGCAGTTTCTAAAGTAATTGCCTTTTAGTTTGGCATCAGTTTTGATTTTGAAATAGTTTCTTATCTTGTAGAATTATTCAAAATTGTGGGTTTATTTCTGATTCTGGCCTCTGGCTTAAATTCTTTTTCTCTTCCGTTAATCAGGTGTCAACATGGTTTTTCACCACATTTTCTGTCTCAGGACTGAAGGACAAAATCCACCATGTGGACAGCCTCCACCAGCTATTTTCTGCCATATCTCCAGAACAGATCGACTTTCCTCCTTTTGTCCTTGAGTACGATGCCAGGGTAAGAAGTGGCAGCAGCTCTTCCTCTTCCAGTGTATGAACCGCTTATGAGCAAAAAATTCTTTCATTAAAGTCTTAATGCTAATCAGCGTCTTAGACTTAATAGTATCATTTACACTCTTCCATAATAACTATAAGAAAAGGCTTTGCCTTAAGAGAAGAAGCCTTTTTTAGCTAAAACAGACTTTCAACAGGAGATTTTCTTGACCATGAATTTAAAACCAGATCTTGTTTGTCCTATCAAATTTCTACAATCTTTGGAACAGATTTTTCTGCCTAGTTCCTTACCAACTACCCACTGCCATCAGATCGATTCTGGTTTTTCTCCCAAGAAGCCCCTAGTGGATTAGAACCACTGACCTATCAAGTTGGCATCCAACATATATTGCACTTGGCCACCAAAATTCCTTACCTAATCTCCTTTGTTGTTGTGTTGTTGTTATATGCTATTGAGTCAGGCTTGGCCAGAAGCTCATCATGTAACTGATGCCTGATTAAGTATCCTTTGGCATCAGTGACAGAATATATTTGAAAGTTATACTAAGTTTGAAATGAACTGTTGCTCCCTAATTATTGTATGATATATATGTAGTAAAATTAAAATCCTGCAACACATTTTCTCTCTAACATTCCTCTAGCTTTAGCTACTTGTGAAAAGCAGTGTGTTTAATGTGTTCACAGACTAATAAGATTTTACGTCTATCTACTGCACAGCATATTTGTAATTAGAATAGCTAGATCATGGGGTCAAAGATTTTTGAATACATGGGAGAAGGAAGAATATAAATGTGTATTTACTAGATTAATAGAGTAAAAAATAGCATTGTTTTTCCTTTGGATTATGCATCACTCTTCATAATACTTCAATAATGGATAGCAGGAAATGTGAAAGGCACCTAAAAAGATATTTTAGTACCAAAAATATTGAATAACAATTCAAGCTGGTGTTTAGATTTATAATTTATTTTCTGGAATAACAATACATATGTTATTTTGTTTGGGCTAGAAAACCCAGAGGACTATTTTTTAAGCCAGCAACTCTAATATTTTGGCGCTTTTACAGCAGGCTTTCATTAAATAGGACCTATAACTTCATTGAGCTGTAGTGACTTAGTGATAAGAAAGGTATACTATTTGAATCCACCAGATGCTCTACAAGACAAAGATAGAAATTCTCCTCCAAAGCAATTTACTCTCTCTGAAAACCCACTGAAAAGTCAACTATGAGTTTCTTCAAACTCAACAACACATAACAACAATGAAGACATAACTTCATCACAACCAAGCTTGATTTTATTGCTTTTCTTTGTATGCTGATTTTAGCTTTCTGTTAGATTTTTCTGTGGCAAATATAGGACTAATTGGTACTGTAATTGTTGTTGTTGTGGTTGTTATGTGCCGTCGAGTCGTTTGCGACTCATAGCGACCCTATGCACAACAGCCCTAAACCCTGCTCTATCCTGCACCAACCGCACCACCTCTGACACACCCATCCCAATTACCCCAGTCACCGAATCAATCCATCTCATAGAGGGTCTTCCCCTCCTGCGCTGTCCCTCCACCCTCCCAAGCATGATGTCCCTCTCCAAGGACCCGTCCTTCCTGGCAACATGTCCAAAGTATGTCAGACGAAGCCCCAGAATCCTTGCCTCCAAGGAGTAGCTTGGTTTAATCCTCTCCAACATGAATCTATTTGTTTTCCTAGCAGTCCATGGTACATTCACTACCCTTCTCCAGCACCACAGCTCAAAAGCATCCACTCTCCTTCTGTCCTCCCTAGTCATTATCCAACTCTCTAATGCATAACAAGCGATTGCAAATACCATGGCCTTTATCAGGCGCACCTTAGTCTCCAGAGAGACACTGTTGCTCCTGAGTACTTTAGAGAGGTCCCTAACAGCAGACTTTCCCATCGCGATATGCTTTTTGATTTCCTGACTGCTGGTGCCAAGAGTGTTGACTGTGGAGCCGAGAAAACTGAAGCTGTGAACAATCTCAATCTCTTCGCCATCCATCCTGACGCTGCCAATTGGTCCAGTGGTGAGAATCTTTGTCTTCTTGACATTGAGCCTCAGTCCATACTGAAGGCTGCAGTCCTTGACCCTTCGCAGCAAGTGCATGAGGTCCTCCTCAGTTTCAGCAAGTAGGGTTGTGTCATCTGCATAACGCAGATTGTTAATAGATCTTCCACCAATCCTGATGCCACAATTCTCCTCGTCGAGCACAGCCTCTCGGATAATCTGCTCTGCATACATGTTGAAAAGGTATGGAGACAGGATGCTGTAATTAGTCACATTAAATATAACAACCTATAATCCATCACTTAGTTCTTTGTATTCTGTCTATATTCCTGTACAAGAATTTACTAAAATTGAAAAATGTATCCGTATATTTGGAAGCAGGAGTGGCATCCACTTCCGTAATAGCTTGCCTCCAGAAAACTTATGAACCTGGAGAAAGGATGATAGTCACACAAGTGTTGACTTCATTCATAGGGTCACTATGAGTCGCCTACGACTCAACGACACTTAACAACAACAACATACAGAGGCCAAAAAAGAATACAAATAAGGAGGAAACAAAATAGGTATCAGATGATGTGGAAGAGGCTAGTTTAGGGCAAATCACTTAATACTGTAACCTTACATACTGTAACTCAAAAAACTCACCTATTGCAGTTAAATTCAATCCGCCTCATAGCTGATCCTCCATTGGGTTTCTGAAATTGTCAGTTGCATGGGAGGAGACTGCCCAGCTTTCTCCCTTAGAGCTGTTGGATTTGCACCTCCAGAGAGGCATGGCCTTTGTGTGAGCAGTGCAGCTGCCTACAGAATATGCCACCAGAACTCCCTTCACGTAACATGCTGTAGTACTTTGACAATCTAAGTGTGTAGTTAAACAGGGAATGTTACAAAGAGGCATTGTCATTTTATTCCCATTTAGAAAGATGACAATAATAAAGTATAGGGAATGGTTTGAGGGAGATAAGACTATAGGCAAGGAGACAAGAGGAGATTATTGGTGGAGTCCAGCTGGAGAGAGCCCAGGGTTAGGACAGCAGTCGTAGTGACAATGGCAAGGATTTGAAAATTTTTATGTAGAAAAAAGCATTTTAGAAAGTAAAAGTTACAAGATTTAGTAATACAGTAATAAAGCTATGTTCAGAACAGAGTTTCTGCTTTGGGAAACCAGAGAGTGTATCTACCCTTCAAAGAGGCAGGAAATTTATATAAAAGAATTGAGTGTGAGGAAAGAGACAGCTGGTATGTGCAATTTATTGACACCTTTGAAGTTTGAGATGCACCATAGGGTTTTGAGGTGTAGGTACCAGTTAGGAGGTTGGCTATTACTTTACACAACAACACTTCCCTTCGTTAAGAATTATTAAGGAGCCCTAGTGGTGTAGTGTGTAACATACTGGGTTGCTAATTGAAAGGTCAGCAATTTGAATCCATCAAGCCGTTCTGGGAGAAAGATAGGCAGTCTCCTCTAAAGATTTACAGCCTCAGAAACGCAGTGGAGGGTCACTATGAGTTGGAACCAACTTGATGCCCTTTGGTTTGGTGGTGTAGTGGTTAAGAGCTTGGCAATGAACCAAAATGTCCACAGTTCAAACTACCTTCTCTGTGGGAGAAAGATACAGTCTGTAAAGATCATACTTTCACAGCCCTATAAAACATACTTTTCTGTTTTATAGGGTTTCTATGAGCCAGAATCAGCTCTCCAGTATCAGGTTTAAGAAGAATTAAACCTTTTGGGGGTGGGGGTGTGGGTGGGCAATGAGTATAGACTTAATTTATTTTCATGTTCAGTTGTGCCTTGCACATACTCTTTTTTTTTTTTTTTTGGTAAAGAAATGGAGTAGTGTTTGTTAGTAGGAAATTTAATTGAGCCTCTATTTTTCTGGACAAATGTTATTAAGTACCAGACATAATTTAGAGGGATCTGTGAATGTGTTATTTTTTTAACCTACTGGCTGTGGTCTTCGCAATCACTTGTTATGCATCAGAGAGTTGGAGAGTGACCAAGGAGGGTATAAGGAGAATTGATGCCTTTGAGCTGTGGTGCTGGAGAAGAGTATTGAGAATACCATGGACTGCTAGGAAAACAAACAGATTTGTCCTGGAAAGGGTCAAACCGGGTGGCTCCTTGGAGGCAAAGATTCTGAGGCTCCGTCTAACATACTTTGGACATGTTGTGAGGAGGGACCGGTCCCTGGAGAGGGATATCATGCTTGGGAGGGTGGAGGGACAGCGCAGGAGAGGAAGACCCTCTATGAGGTGGATTGATTCAGTGACTGGGATAATTGGGATGGGAGTGTCAGAGACAGTGCGATTGGCACAGGACAGAGCGGAGTTTAGGGCTGTTGTACATAGGGTCGCTATGAGTCGTAAGCGACTCGACAGCACATAACAACAACAACAACACTATGTAAAAATGATACTAAGACAATTCCTGAAAGTCAACCTTCTTACAAAGAGATTCAGTAGAAAGAGTATACAGTCATCAGATTCCTTTATTTGTCTACAGAAATAGAGACTTCACAGCAGTCTCTTACACAGTAAAGAAGTAGCATAACAGCTCTGTTTCTTAGCATTAGACATTAGATTTGGCTTTCTTAGTTAGGCACAGTTTAATGTGGTGGTGGTGGTGGTGTTAAGTGCTGTCGAGTCATACACAACTCATAGCGACCTTATGAATGAAAGACCTGAACACTTGTATAACTTTCATCATTTCTCCAAGTTCATAGAGCTTCTGGAGGCAATTTAATGTAGGTAAGGGAAATCTAGAAAAAGATAGTAGTAGATTGGAGAAATCTTAAAGATTTCTTTTTAGATGACAATCCCAGTGGATTATATCTTCAGGGCATGTTTCCCTGACAAGTTTCCATCTTTTTAGAGGATGCTCCATTGATTGGTGGAACAAATCTCAGTTGAAGTGTATGCAAAAATTGCTTTCATTAATTTTTTTTTCATGATTCCAGAAATGTAATTTGGAGGTTTGTCCCTACCTAAGTTTTTTAAAAAAACATTCTTTTTAGTGGTCACATTTAAGTTGGTTATAGCACAAGATCTTTTCCAATTCCAAGGCCTTACTCACAATTCCAAGTCCTGAAGAGTGAGACAGCTCATGATTCACTATGTAAATCAAGTGGCAGTTAACTGCCTGCTGTGTTCAAGAGTAAGTAAAGTTTAATGCTCCATGAGAACTATAATAGAAATGCAGTGTTATCTTCATCCAAAGTATAATCCAACTCCATTCCTAAACATCAATTTTAAGTGTTTTCCGTATTGTTAAGTACTGTCAAATTGGATCTGACTCATAGTTGACCCCCCACTGGGTTTTCAGTAGCAGTTTAATCACACAGGAGATTTCCTGTCCTTCTGTGGAGCAGCTATGGGTTCAAACCGCAGACCTTCAGGCTGACAGCTTAGCTTCTTACCACTAAGCTACCAGAGCTCCCTTTTCAATTTATAGTTAACTAAAAAACAAATTCATTGTCAAATAAGTACTTTCTTTAAAATGAAGAAAATGATATCTCATAAATCTAGTCTTAGAAATCTACCGTAAAGTTAACTGCCTCGATTTTTAAACCTCAAATTAGCCAGAATGAAGGCCAAAAAATTCTCCCTACGCTGATTTGTTCCTTTATTTCACTTGGTATTAAAATGTTGGCATTTAATTCTTCATCTTGATCTGGAGCTAAATGCTGTGAGAATTATAATTATTAGAAGGCATGGAAGAATTATTTCTGCCAAAACAGTTATAGTTACTCAATTCCTCAGTAATAACTGGTTTTGCTTCATAACTCTATATTAAGACTCAGCACACAATAAGACAAAATGGTTAGTCAAAAAAATTTAGCTGTGTGGTTACTAACTAGGTGCCCTTGGTTGAATTATGCTATCTGTGGCTCATGAAAGAGGAAAATGAGGATGATACTTACCTCATGGTATTATGTGAGGATTTAAAAGGGTAATGAAAGACAAGTGCCTATAAAGTATCTGGCACATAGGATATTCTATAAATGGTATTGCAATTTAAAAATATTACCATCCTTATTGCTCCTTCCTACTTTAACGTCAGCTCCGACTGACTGCAGTACAACTGCTTAATGGCCGAGAGGCCTGCTAAATGCTTTATGTACACTATTGCATTGACTATAAATCGTTATTTCATATTCCCAGTTAAATTGGTCTTCCTTCTTAATGTTCTTGTCTCTCTGCTGCCCCCACTTCTTCCACAGGAAAACGGGCCTTACTATACATCATATCCTCCATCACCAGATCTGTGACCTGCCATCTTTCAGTGCTGCTGGTTTCCACGAATGCCACTTTCTCCATGACTTGCTACCTATTGAAGTGATGTTCATTTTTGCTGTACAGATCCAGAGAGTCTTTTGTCCCCACCTCTCTGGTATTTTTTTATTGACTGTATATTTTCTGGCACATAAACAATCTAAAAATAATAGGCTACTCGGAACTGCACAGTTATTTTAAATTTGTATATTTATATCAAATGAAAATGTTCCTTTTTAGACAGTTGTTAATAGAAATTGGGGAACAATTTTTGAGTATCTTCAGTTTCTTAAAAAGACACTGGATTCTCCACTAGATGAGCCACCAATATTATTCACGTCATCACCTTAACATTGCACGCTTCTTTTGTGTACTGAAGTGCTTCTCAGAATATATAGAACCAGTGTGTGCTGAACAGATGGACTGTTTGCTTCAGATCCTGGTGTTAATCCCACTTAACATTTTTTACAGATTTTATCATAATTTTGTTATGGTACAAGAGAACTGTTTGGGACCAAGAGTGTGGAAATGTATCTGATAGATAAAAAAAAAAAAAGAAATTCAAAATTGTTACCAAATACAGGACTTGGGATTTTACTGTGCCAGTCTTAGTTCTTTGGATTGTATGATTTGTTAAAATTGCCACTGTTCTCGTCTGACTAATGGGAAAAGAAGAAGAGCGCATCTTCAGGTTTTTCCTACAGTCATAGGTGACTTGGTATCCCTATTCAAAAGACCTGCATGCACGAGTACCCCTAAGTGACAGATTCTCCCAAGACTATCAGAGTGCCTTTAGTGTGTGCTGTCTGTCTTCCCATAGTCGTGCGTAATATTTGGCTCTGAGGGCCACTACTCCTAAGGGCATTTGTAGAAGAGTCATTTGGGTTGTGAAAGCATGTGAGAAAGTGTGTTACAGTAAACAGAGCCAGGAATCCAGTAATTGGCTTTCCCCCCACCTTTACCACTCAGGTTTTTTTTGTGCCTTAGCTTGCTGACAAACACAAATTAGAAACATGCTGTCTACCTCACAAAGGTATCACAACATTTGAAAGTGCTTAGATATCTTTGAATTCAGAAATACGATAGAAGAGTTTGTGTGGTGAGATGTCTTTAGTTAGCTTTTAAATAAGTATAAATATACATGAGGGAGTGCCTCAAGGCACTCCTCTTGTCCTTGGCACTTTTTGAGTGATTTTTCTTTTCTTGGGAGAATAACTGTTCAAAATCCCAACACAAGGACCTCCTTCCTTCTTTGTCCAGAATTTGTTCTGATCCACTCCTCCCTAGATGCTGCACTTTAACAAGAGGCATCTGTTTGCTGTTTTAAATGTTTCTTCTTGAATAAGGTCAAGCTATTATCATTTCCATCTGCATGTCTTCATAGTCCTTTTGATTCCTACACCCACCCCCATCTTCCTCACCCCATCATGTGCATTAGCAGTTCACAGATGAAAGCGTGGAACTTTTCTGTCACTGTGGGCAGAGGATTGGTGCTTCCAGTAGTCCATTTCTCTGTTGTTGGTGGTGGTGTTGTGTACTGTCGAGTCATACTTGACCCATAGCTGACCCTCCAGTGCATTTTCAGAGGCAGTTAACTGCACAGAAGGAGATTGCCCATACTTCTCCTGTGGAGCAGCTGGTGGATTTAAACCGTGTGCCTTTGGGATTGCAGTGCAGTTTCTTACCAGTAGGCCAACAGAGCTCCTCATTTCCCTGTAGCCCAGTGAGGGTAAATGAAACACTTCACTGTTGGTGTCCTGAAGTCTCCCTATAGCTGTGCTAACCCTATCATTTTTTTTCCCCAAGTGAACAAGAACAGATTTTACATTTCTTAGATAAACAGTTCAATTGTTTACTAGAACTGGACGTATTTGGTGTCAGGAATCAAAACCATGTGTTCCTTATATGTATGCTTGTATGTTAAGGTTCATCACATCCAGAAAACCAGTCAGGGGTCAAGTGTTAAGCTTCCTCTCAAACAAAGCTTTAGAATAGTTCATTCCAGCCCAGTGTTCCCACTAAGAACCACTCCTCTTCCCCCAAAAGAATCTATTGTTATCAAGTCAATTCTTAGTCATAGTGACCTTATAGGACAGGTTAGAAATCCCGTAAGAGTTTCTTCTTGGTTCAAACTACCAACCTCTCAGCAGCTTAACTGCTGTATTACCAACCTCATTGCTGTCGAGTCAGAACCAGCTCATAGTTGGCACTCTAGAGGGTTTTCAGAGGCTGTAAATCCCATGGGAAAAGATTGCCCATCTTTCTGCCTCAGTGCAGCTGGTAGATTCAGATCTCCTGCATTTGCTTGACAGTGGGCTCCTTATTTTCCCCAAGACAGCATCTAATATTTAAGAAGCTCCCCAGAAGATCTTTGTAGATCCCCAAGTAATTCTTAGGTGCACAAGAGAATCACTTGAGGAGCTTTTAAACTGCAAATTCATTATATTGGGTGGTGGTTGTTATTGTGTACCATTGAGTTGGAACCAAGCTGACCCTCCTGCAGGTTTTCAGAAACAATTAATTGCACAGGAGGACATTGCCCATCTTTCTCCTGTGGAGCAACTGGTAGATTCAAACCTGGCGCCTTTGAGATTGTAGCACAGCTTCTTACCACTAGGCCACCAGACTGGCCTATAACCAGGGCAGTGGTTGTTAACTGTTGTTAGGTACTGTTGAGTCAAGTATGACTCATAGTGACCCTATGAACACTAGATCTGAACCCTGGCCTATCTGTGCCATCCTCATGATCTCTGACATCTTCAAGCCCATTGCTGCAATCACTGTGCCAGTCCACTTGGCTGAAGGTCTTCCTCTTTTTTGCCATCCCTCTACTTTCCCAAGCATGGTGCCCCCTAGGGTATAAATGTAAATTCTCAGCAAGGGGTTAAATGGATCAAAAGCCTTACACTCAAATAACAGAAAACCAAACTTGTTTTCCTCAAGTCAGTTTCTACTCTTGACCTTGCAGTTTCCAGGGCTGTAAAAGTTTTAAGGGAGCAGACTGCTCACTTCTGCCTTTCTTGGAGTGACTGGTTCAAACTAACAGCCTTTTCGTTAGAGGCTGACCACTTTCAGGGAGCTCTGGTGGCTTAGTGGCAAGAAGCTGCACTGCAATCCTGAAGGTGTGCAGTTCGAATCCACCAGATGCTCTGCTGGAGGAGGAGTAAACTCCTGTTCCAGTCTGATCCAATTCAGAGATACACCATATTAAAAATAAATAAAAAAAAATGAATTTAAAAACAAAAAGAAGCTGACCACTGTGCCGTCCACTTCCTTAATCCCTTTGTGCAATCAACCTTAAATTTCTAAAACATTAAGTTTGTCCTGTCCAGTCAATTGGTAGATCATATCTAAATACCTTTTCCATTTAAAGCAGCTATAAAAATAAGCTAACATTGCTATTTTATATTATAGCTGGACTTGGCTGCCTCATGTCATGCATCTGACCTGAGCCACTTTGAGGTGTGAAAAGAAGCATATTTATAAATACAGTTTTTTAATAGGCAGTAAGTTTGAAAGAATGACCTTTTGCTATATTTAGACTGCATGTTTAGAAACACAAGCAGGATTCTATTAGGGCTCTTTGCACAATTGATGTTCTAGAATATAAAGGTGGTATAAGACTACATACATATCAGTACTGCTTCATAGTTCAATGGTCACTAAAAATAGGACCTACTCTCTTTAGTGAAACAGATTTTAGTATGTTGCTGTTTGTGGGGTTTTAGTAGTCTAAAATATATAAATTTATTTCTGTGTACTAAATCTTCAGGAGGGATGCATAGCATACCTTGGAGCTGAGATGATTAAGTAATGTTCATTGCATATCTGCCTTTGACAAAGGTTTGATGGCCTGGATGACATACCACTTTCAAAGGACACATTCGAGGACATAACTAGGTGGCTGAGTGGAGATGACCATTACTTAAACTTACTTAAACTTGGGTCATGCCAAATATTAGTTCATTTGCTGAAGACACAGCTTACAAAATACTAAGTTCATTAATTCTTACAAAGCATAACGTTGTTTTTAAAACAATTACATTTCTTCCTTCAGCATATTTTCTTATTCTTTTTATTTTATATCCAAAATGCTTGGTAGTGAAAATGATCACTCTTAAAAAGCTCTGTGTTTATTAGACTCTAAAACTTAGAGACCTAGTGGCTCCTAACATATTTTAATTGTTTTCTTTAATATGTATTTTCTTTCACTGGCTCCTTTTTACAAAGGATTGCCGCTACAGAGTAATAAAAATGGGATTTTTAGAATGTTTCTGCTAGGATACAAGGGCTATAGGTTTTTTAATAAAATTTCTAAAGTCTTAAAGGAACAACACATCTCCCCTTTCTAAAGAAAGAGGAATATAATCACTTTAAAAGAAGATCTAATTTACCTATTTGTGTCTGTCTTCTGTTAACTAAGATACCACTTAATGAGTTTAAACTACATGTAATGATTTGGTTGTCTTTGTAGCCATTAATAGGAAAATGATAAAATGTTAAGTCTCAGCTAAAAATAACTGTTTCCTCTAATATATGTATATAGAGAGTGTAAATTGTTTAATATTATCAACCACAAATGTTACTAGAATTGGAAAAACTAGAAAGAGAAGACTTGTATGATTCTCAGAAGAGTGAATTGATTGCTTTAAGAACTGTAAAGGCTATAAGATAATGCCTAAGATTGAATTCAATTCATCAGAGTTCTCAAGTTACAGTCATCAGAATTAGCAAAGGCTGTTTCTTCTGTATCAGCACTATTGCAGCCTTGAGACGTATGATTGACTCTTGGTATGCAGTTGCCTAAAGTCAGTGAAGGAAGGTTTTACCAGTATCCAGCATGCTCTCATAAACCAGTTGTGATAAAGGTTGCCTACTAACTCTAAAGATTTGATTTTGGATCCACAGTTAACACTCTGGTACCAGCAGTCAGGAAATCAGGAGACATATTGCACTGGGAAACTCTGTAGTCAGGGACCACTCCAAATTACTGAGG